AGTGGTTAAAGGGATCCACAGGGCAAAAAAGGTACGGTACTTGTGTATTAGCACAGTCACCTTAATGCAGTTTTGGCAAATTTTACAGAAGAAAGACTGATGATTTGTAATTCTAAAAATCTGTATTACATTCAAAAATATTGTTACAATCTATTTTACATTTTAAATAGGTAATTAAACTAAAAGTTACCTTCTTAAACATTAAAAAGAAAAGATAATCTTAGTAAACTTACATACAAGCAGACGTTTATTCCTCCTGTTCTGCAGCAAATTTTGTCAGAAGAGATTCAGAGCAATTCTCTATAGAGATTTTATGGCAAAATACTACTGGAAATACTTTATCACAATTTTTTTCCAGCACAGGCAAATCCTATAAATGCACATTTAAAAATTTGTTTTAAGGAAAAAAGTATGATGTGTTGGTAAAAATGCATTTACTGGTAACCCTTGGAGATTTTTGGTGGTACATGGAACCGAAGTTTGTGCAATTCTTTGACTTGTTATTTGGGCTTGTGTAGCGCTGATTTTCGCTCCAAAATCGCCGCTACACAAAGCCAAAATAACGATACAAAGAATTGCACAAACTCGGCATCCATGCACACATCGACCTATTTTCACTTGAAAAAAAAAAAAAAAAAAAAAAAAAAAAAAAACAGAGAATTGCACAAACTTGGCATTGCACACTCTCTTAATTTTATCCATGTACATGTCGACCTATTTTCACTTTAAAAAAAAAAAAAAAGGAATTGCACAAACTAGGCATTGCGCTCTCCCTTGACTTTGTGCATGTAGACATCAACCTACACTCACGTTTGTGAAAATTGCAACACCAAGAAGGAATCGTCATAATTGAATGCAATTTAATACACAGTTGAGTGGTAGTGGTACAAATAAATGATTAAATGTTCAAAGCAAACAAACAAGAACAAGAGATCAGAATCAGTATTTTGTGTGGTCACCACGCGCCACAATAAGTGCTGCTACACGACGTGGCATGGAGTCAAAGTTTGAATGTCTGACTGAGGAAGAGCGTTCCATATCGTTTGTACGCGTACCCAAAGTTCGTCTGCAGACGCAACAGGACGAGGATCACGAGCAAGACGCCGACCAATGACATCCCACACATGTTCAATTGGCGACATATCCGGGGAACACGCAGGCCAAGGAAGAAGCTGTACCTGCTGCGCTGCAAAGAAGGATTTAACAATCCGAGCAGTATGAGGGCGGGCATTGTCCTGTTGAAATACAGCGCCTGGCAAGCTTTGAAGGAAGGGAACAGCTTCGGGCTGTAGAACTTCACGGATATACCGGTTGCTGTTCAGATTGCCCACAATTCGTAGCAATTGAGATCGTCTATTGATATGCTATGGCACCCCAGACCATAACTCCGGGTGTTCGTCCACTGTGGCGTTCGATAATGCACTCCGGAAGGTGGCGTTCACCGGCATAGCGTCTGACACGAATGCGGCCATCATGGTACCACAAATTAAAGCGGGATTCGTCAGAAAACACGACATGCTGCCAATCAGCACGCCAGTCTCTATGCTGATTGGCCCATTGTAGCCGCAGGCGGCGATGGTCGTGCGTTAGGGGGATCCTGTATAAAGGAGTCCGTGCGCGCAGTCCACACTGCAGCAGACGTCTACGAATTGATGAAGCAACAAATGAAACACCTGTAGCTATTGACCACAGTGCTGCCAATTGTCTAGAGGAAGCTGTACGGTCCGTCCGCGCCATGCGGACCAGGTGTCTATCATCGCGAGCTGACGTCAAATTTCGGGGTCCACTCCCGGATTTCCGAGTTGTCCGACACTCGTCCGTCCACTGCTTCCAAACGCGCATCACTGTGCTGCTGTTACGCTGCACACGAGAGGCTACTGCACGATACGACAATCCAGCTTCACGAAGGCTGATGATTCTCCCTCGTTCAAACTCTGTAAGTTGTTCAAATCTCGCTCTCTTTCGTCGACGAGGCATAAGTACAGATTGAGTTAACGTTTACCACTAGCAGATAACCACCGATAACCATACACGCCTCGCTACAGCCGTCTATTTATTCGGATCCATCAGCCGTTCAGAGGGCGCTGCTCAGCATACGCATGCGCTACTTTGCATTTCCTGAAAATTTCAGCTCACTCGCGTAAGTCCTTCATGGTGTTGCAATTTTCACAAACGTGAGTGTATATTCACTTAAAAAGTCAAAGGAGCAGCCAACAAAAAATATATAATCTCAATAATCTACATTTTAAATCAAACAATGAAATAACATAAAAAAGGAAATTCATCTTTGCACTGCACAAAGGAAATATCCACTTACATTATTTACGAATTAACGTGTCTTCAGTCAAAATTTCTTAACAGCATCCAAAAACTTCCTAAAATTATCTGAACTACAATCTGTATACTGGCGTCATCACATAAATTCACAAAATAAGAGTCGAAAATACCCTCCATAACCACGTTCGACCATACGCATTTCCTTTCTACAAAACAGGACACTTAATAATGGCTGCTAAGTAAACCTTCATTTACACACCAGTCAAGTAATGCTGTTCCCCCTTTCTTTCCAAGTTGTACAGAAACATAAAATTAATCTTATCACATTTAGCCATTTTACCGTCTAAACCACAAAACAAGCAATATACTTCCTAACCAACATGAGCCCTTATGAATTTACCACAATCTTGCAAACAATTACGTCATAATAGGGTTTCTATAATGTTCAACTACTCAGGCTACCATAAATGAAACAACTTCGCGACAATACAAGGATTACCCTTATGTTTACTCTAACCGATTTGTCTATAAAAATCATTGAAATTTGGGAGTTTGGAAAAATAAAATGCATGAAAGTGTCGACATTAGTTTAAAGAAATGAATTGTCACATTCATGGTTGCCCGAGCGAAAAGAAGGTTGAGAACTACTGCACTAGTGGTCTTGCCAGCGCATTTTAGCTAAATAACATCAAAACGTCTAGTCAAGTCACATAAGCATTAAATGTAAATTGAAAACCTATTTTCTTTCCACAGTGGGAAAACTATTGTCATTCTGATAAATGAAAGAGCAGTGCTTTTTGGGACTTTAGAATTTTATGCTCATTAATTCAGTTATTTGGAAATTTGCTATTAAGAAAAGGTTCTCTTTTTTGTTGTTGACAAAACTTTTTCTTGTATTGGAAAACAATTGCCATTAAAAATAATCTGCTATTCCGATTTCCCATTCCGATTGCACGATTGCCCAATTTTTGGATTATTTCACCAGTCAGTAATTTAGCTTTAGTTCTTTTAAAGTTTTAAAATGATCTTGATATGGTAAATTAAACCTAGAATACTAAATCAAGAAAAGATATTAGTTATACATATCATTTTAATGTAATTATTAAAATCAGTCACTGGGAATCTTTTTCAGATTTTAATATTTGAAGATTTTTATGGTCAGTGTTAACATGCATCAACACTCACATATTTGTCTGTGTATTTAACATACATTGACCAGGCTAACAAAGCATATTAAGTTCATTAAAGTAGATGAATCTTTGTTATCAGAAATTAATAAATTTCATATTAATGGATATTGATGTGAGCACCACAGGTTTTAGGATCTGTCTACAAAATCTGTATTTAAACGACATTTATTAGCTATATTTGTCTAATTACTTATTTTGGTACTACTCTTATACACACCCTCAAGTCCCCAAATGTGGCAATATGTGTTCTGCTCTGGTTTTTGGTGTGATGTTTGTATGGCAACCCTTTTGATGTTGAAAATTGATTTTGGTTTGGTGGGCATTTGGAAATGTCTTATGTTGCAATGAAAAACGTGGTAAAATTTGACTCGCTTATTTTGCATTATGTGCAAAGTAAATTTAGTGTTAGAAGGTATGATGTTGGAGGTGTTAATGAGTCTTTTGTTCACGGGTGTGTTTATGTGGATCAAAGTGTATTTTAGGAATTAAATTTTTTTCCCCCTCCTGATTTTTAGCGTAAATTTTGTATTGAAAATGGGGGTTTTTGCAGACATTTTAAACTTAAAGTTCGAAATGTAGACAAAAAATTTGGATAGTAATATGACGCCGTTGAGTTTCTTGCCAAAAATGTTTGGCGCCAACTGAGGGCATATATAAGAGTAGTTCCCTTATTTTAATGTTTAATTTCTTAAACTTGCATTAAAATTACATATACATTATTAAAGGAATTAAAGCAAAATATTTGAAATTATAAGTTAATATATACCAGGTGACAAAAGATCTCGTGAGTGGCTAAAGTTGATCATGCTGCTGAGAGGGTTAATCAACATTTTAGCTTTAATTTTTCTAAAGATAGGCCCTAGAATACAATAGGTCAGAAGAAATTTTATACAAATTTTGACTGCTGTTCATTAAAATTTCATTGATTAGCATAATGATGATTGAAATGGTTAAAATAACAAAATTTTCTTCAAAAAAATTATTCATGAACTTCAGGACTTAAGTTGTATTGATTTCATATTTTTCGGAATTTTGTTTGCTGTTTTACTTCTCTAATTTTTATGCTAAGTTTGTATAGTTTGTACATACATAACTAAAACATAATTATTTATAATAAATGTTTATCCTTGGGTTATTTCAATGTGAAAACTTATATTTTATGGATTCCATGCACATGTACTCATATATATTGGACTCAATTTCCTTAGAATGTTTTCTGTGAAGATATTATGAAGATTTTAGTTATATGCTTTATTATTATTTACTTAATAAATTTTTAGTTTATTATACTTAGTAAATCCTAATCTTAATGCATTATTAAACACAAAAATGTTAGAATATAAAGGATAATGCATTAGTTCTTGGGTTTAGTTATTCTATAAAATCTGTTAACTCGAATTTAGAATATTCTAATTTTATAATTACTTATATTGAATCTATGAACAAATGAGAATTAAAAAACTTTTGCTAATATTGATTTTTATGAACTTTTTTTTTAATTATACATAATTTTAAATGCAATATCTTATTTAGTGTCGGACAAGCTGGTGAGGGACCAGAACTAAAAATTAATACTGGTGATGAAGCTGTTGACATTGAACAGAATACTGCACGTAAGTTTTAAATTTTATATTTTGTTCATTAAATCTTTGAGGTCTCGAGTCTCTTTTTTTCAACATAAAAGAAAAAATCTGATGTGCACAACACATGACTTCCTTGTACGGAATATTAAATTATACGCATTTTTTCTTGCATTTCATTTAAACTTATTGGATTGAATTAAATCTTCTTTGTGGATAGCGCATAAACCATAATAGAATAAATGCACTCTTTAAAATTCACTACATTTGTTTACCATAGCGACACTGTGGTGCTAGGTTCACTTAACAGTGTTATATTTCGTTCATATTATAATTCAGAACAAAATTTATATCATTTGAAGAATTATCTAATTGTTGCCACATGTTCTATTCAAATACTATAATAAATCTAGAACAATGTATAAAAGAAATTAAGCAAACAAAACTAAAAAGAAACAGTTTTTCACAGACAATTTAGTATTTCTCATTCAATTAATTCAGTTCTCACTTCGCGACAAGGCAAAAATACATAAAAGCTCAAAATATCTACGAGGGCCATCCAGGAAGTAGATTACGTTTCCATCTGTGTCCGCTAGGGGCGGGGCTAGCGCGGCCATCTTGGGGTCAGAGCATTGCGCAGCTCAGTCTGCATCTAGCCGTGCTAGTGAGAGGTTCGTGCTGTGCTCCGTTCAGATACTGTGACGGTTTGAAATGTCTGCGTTAATTGAAAATCCCGCGAGCTGCGAGGTGCGCTCAGTAATAAGGTTTCTGACTGCAAAAAACTGTAAACCGATAGAAATCTATCGGCAGCTTCGTGAAGTGTATGGGGACAACATTATCACTGAAGGTGGAGTGCGTCAGTGGGTCATAAGATTTCAAAATGGCCGAACCAATGTTCACGACGAAGATCGAAGTGGGAGACCCAGCATAGTGACCACCGAACTTCTCGAAAAAGTCGATGCTAAAGTCCGTGAAAATCGAAATTTCACAATAACGGAACTTCTTTGAGTTTTCCACAAATTTCGCGAAGTTTGTTGCACGAAATCATCAGCGAAAAGCTTGGTTACCACAAGTTTTGTGCAAGATGGATTCCAAAATCTTGACAGAGGACCACAAAAATCAGCGAATGGCTGCAGCGTTGAACTTTTTGGACGCTTACCATAAGGATGGTGACTCTTTACTCGATCGCATCGTTACTGGTGACGAAACATGGGTGAAACATGTGAACTGTGAAACGAAATTGCAATCAATGCAGTGGGGGCACACAAGTTCTCCCCAAAAACCCAAGAAATGCATGCAAACAATGTCGGCAAGGAAGATGATGGCGACTGTTTTTTGGGACAGAAAAGGTGTAATTTTGGTGGACTTCCTGGAAAGAGGCACTACAATAAACTCTCAAAGGTATTGCCAAACTCTCCAAAAACTCAGAAGAGCAATTCAAAACAAGCGCAGAGGAATGTTGAGCTCTAAGATCTTGTTGATTCACGACAACGCCCGGCCCCACACGGCAAATGTCACTCGTAAAGTTCTTGAATCTTTTAAGTGGGAGTTGTTTCCTCATCCGCCGTACAGTCCCGACCTGGCACCGAGCGACTTCCACCTATTCCCAGCAATGAAGAAGTGGCTGGCTATGCAGCGTTTTGATGACGACGCACAGCTGCAAGAAGAGGTAACGAAGTGGTTGAAGGCGCAGGCGGCCGAATTTTTCGACGAAGGAATTTCCAAGCCTTTGTACATCGCTACGATAAATGCCTTAATTTGTATGGTGACTATGTAGAAAAGTAGTATTTGAGTGTGGCTTTCATCTGTATATAATAAAATTTGTTTCCTATACTTTGTTTATTTTTTTATTCCAAAACGTAATCTACTTTCTGGATAGCCCTCGTATTTAAAAATTACGAAGTAAATCTTAAACTCTTATTTCCTCGAAAAAATTCCAGAAAGGATTAAGCATTATTTAATTCACAATAATAAATGAGGGCATTATCTTTGTTGTTGCAAAGCTTAGTCTCTCTAAATTGGCAAAAAATCTACTATTCTGCTGTTTCAAATGTAAACAAAATATATCCGCCAAGTTATTTAAAAATTAGGCTTAACTGCACTTAAATAGCTTTTAAATTGTTGATTATTGTACAGATATTGCTTGCAGATTTACTAAAGGCATAAAAACCTTAACCGGACGATAAGAACAACATAATTCAATCATTTTTAAAGCAAAAAAGGCACAATTTACAAACATACAAGAGTAAAGAAACTGAGATCACTGAGCCGGGTAACTGAGTGGATATATATGAATATATTTATATATGTTTGGTGCGGCCAATTGCTACCAAAATAAGAGGTGCACGTCTACATGTTATAGCAGCCCTACATATAAAATTTCATTGTTCTGAGGCTACTCGTTTTTGAGTTATGCGAGATACGTATGTACGTATGTTTGCCATGAAAAAATTCTCTTCAGAATTCATTTTAAAGCAGTTTTATAATTTTTTTGGAGAAAAAGAGTCTTTATTTTGTCCTTACATACAGATGGCATGCAAAAACATCATTGAATTACATTCGATAGCGGTCAGAATGGATATTTTCGTTGAAATATGCTGCCTGAATCTTTTCCCGATTACAATACTTCCTTTTTACTTCATACAAGGAAGTAAAAAGGTCTTAAATTTAGGCAGTTTTAAAAATAGTGCTCTTGTGGAAGATTTGGGTGCATTATAAATTTTAATGTATAGTAATAGTCATTGCTTATGTAATTGAGTTAAAATTTCTTTATATAATTTTATCAAAGCATTATTGAACCATGATATAGGCACAGCTATTTAAGATTTTCTTATCTAGCTTAGATTAACTCTCTATGGATGACTTGCTGCTCCTATGGATGATGGATGTAAACTTATTTAAGAATATGTGTTGTGTACAGCTTGGTCATAAAAAATGTCCTCAATATATGAACCCTTAGTGGCTTATACTCAACCAATCTAAATGATGTTTCAGATATTGTTATTTGAAGGTATGCATTCAAGATATTGATTTAAAACAATTGAGCTCTTATGGTTACAGAGAAAAAATTTTTGAAAGGCAACACCCTTTTTTTCCCTGTGCAAATTGATCAGCATATTGAAGACCATAAATGGCATTGGAAGGATACATACACAATTGGGATTTCTCACACTGCGAGACTGAACTGCATTGGAAGTTCCTTCGCCCCTTGGAACCAGGCTCAGAGGTTCAACCACCGCCCTCGCACATTGGAGAGAAGGATGCATCGCACAAAGCAAGACTGGTCGTCAATTTGCTACCTGCCAGTTGTTCGGGCTACCCGTCGCAGTGGGATATTACCCAGCGAACCCAAGGGTGCTATTTGCTGTGCTTCTAGAGTCACACCACTCTAGGACTCACCAGATCACCGGGCTGGTCAATGAGTGAACTTTCCGGGGCCCATTAGAACCACTAGGTTCATAAATTTTATACTCTCAATGGCTCAGACTGTGTAGGTACAAATCCTAGCCAGTAGCTTTGCATAGTTCTGTATGTCGACCCCCCGTGGGGGTTGGAAGGATACATGTATGTCGATATGAAACATTTGCGAAGAAGAGCATTGTGAAGGACCACTGACAGCCCAAGAGAGAAGGGGGGATCTTTGTACTGGAATTGCAAGCTTTCATTATGCTCCTCTCTGCAGATGATAATGCATTGCATGTGGGAGATCGTTGACAACAATGATGAACATAACATCACAGGAGGAATGTGCCATCTTTCACTTCTGACATCTTGTGGATTTGATATGTATACCTTAGATTTCAGATAATCGGATGACTAGAGATTCATTGGAGCGAGGTTTGGCCAGGAAACTGCAAAGTTATTAGAGATGACTTCTGTCTTGAAACATTGAAATACGTTGAAAACTTGTAATTCCAATAAAAGTTTTTTTCTACCGTTCACCTCTCTTGTGTTTTCATTGTTCTTTTAAAACGCTCTTTGCAAATGTTTTATGCTGGCTGTTTTCAACATGTGTGTAGCATTCCAATGCCATTTTTAATTTTTCAATACCTGAAATTTCATTTTGATTTGGTTTGACATATAGGATGCTAGGGATTTATATATCGAAGTGTTTTCATCACCACCCTGTATGTGTATTTCCATGCAGAATGGCTCACCATTTGCATTGGCCAAGTGATCACTGAGCATTGGTAGCTCAATCTGGATTCAAATCTTGGCAAATAAACTGGCTTCGTGATCATTTTAGTGGATCATTTCCTCTCCTTTTTCTTAGACCATCAGAATAAATTATAACAAAACAAGTTCTTATACGGTGAAATATTCCTGAGACAGCCCAGTCATGATTCTAGGTCACCTTAGAAAATATGATATCCAATATCATATGCGTACTTTGGAAACATGTCCGAGTCATGTTTTCATGAAGTGTAGTAGAAATTCTCATATTTGCTACCACGAAGTATAGGCAGTAAATATTGAAAATATATTTTTAGGGTAGTATGATTATATAGCACAGGTAGTATTGAAAATTGGTCACATTGCTGCTCCCTGGCTCACTTTCCATTTTCTACGAGACATTTAAAATCCATAATTCTATCAAATATCTTAATTTCTGTATTTTAATTTGCTGCAGTAACCATTAAAGTGCATATAAAACTTCAGTGTACTTACCAAAATTCATCATTTCAAAAGCTGCATTTGATAAAATAAAAGCATGCAGTTAAACATTGAATTGAAGCTTCATGTACTGGTTCAAAGTTTCTGAAATTGTCATTTAAATTAATAATAAAGAATATATATCCCATAATTACTGAACATTTTTTACTTATTTTTCTTAATCGTTGATTTGTTTTATCTCTGAGAACTGACCAATGCCAAGTAAATAATAGCCTTGAATCTTGGTAATTCAGTCTAGGTTAAAATTATGGTGAACAGAAGTTTGTATTGCTGTTTTTATGGTTTTCTCCATGTATGACATGAATACATATCAGTTTTCCATGCAGAAGTCCTCCAGGAAGGTATCATTTTCTCCAAAGCTGATAGTCCTAGCATGCTAGCTCTCCTGCATTGTTTCAGTAGCTAATAGATAATAGAAACTAATAAAAAAAATCAAGCTTCTTGTATGTAAATATGTAATTATTTTCAGAAGTTGATGGAGTGGACATTTTCATGCTAAATAACTGTTTGTCATTTAATAGGCAAAATAGCAGTCCTTCAGAACAAGACTTTTCCTCATGGTGGCTACGAATGATAGTTTTTAGTATTAATACATTACATGTGTACTTTAATTGTCTTGTATATAGTAAACCCTCAAAGACACCACTTACAGCACTGATGGCAAATGTTTTGAGCTCATCATGTCAAAATTCAGAAATACCCAAATGTGTAACTGTGGTGCTGTTATACATATAGAATTATCCTTATTATCCATCTGCCAAGAATGCATTCAAATGCATCTGAGGTAAAGGCAGTACATGTTGACAGTGATGATGCTAATGCAAGAGACAAATATTTTTGTATTATGCAAATGTTTTTGTCACCATCGATGGCTCTGGAATTGTGTGATGCGTGTCACCCAGAATGAGTTTCCATGTCATGAAGTTAGCCATTGCTGACCTACAGTTTCAGCTGACTGATCTTTTAAGGAGATTTTGCTAGAGATGAGATGTTCGTATGGATGCTCATGCTCTCTGAAACATCGGTCACTTTACAGGTAAGTTGTTTTAAGTAGGTGGTTATCATTGTTGTTGCTTATGATGTAGTCAGCCCAAGTCCACAGAATTCTTCGTTGCAAGGAGCTCTAGATTATGCCTGCCATTGGCAACAGCCTTGAGCACCATTCAGGTGACAATGTGATTTAGCTCAGTTCTGCCCCCAAGTTTGAAGGAGAGCACCCCAAGGTGGGATGGGTCTGAGGGTCTCCCATCCCTCTCACCTTCGACCAAACCACACAAGGACGTTTGGCCTGCCTCATATTTAAATTGCCGTCATTCTGCACTGACACTATACATTTACAAACATCCATACCTTCTCCGGGATTTGAACCCGAACCCTTTGGCACGGCAGTCAGCGACGCTAACAACTACTATACTGGTTGGGTGGCAGTAGTTATCATAAAAGCGTTCACTGAAATTCATTATTTTTTAGCAAGTATGTTGCATGGAGGTAGTGTAAATAGTGATCAAACATTTAATAGCGTTGAGGAGCATAAAAAAAGTTACTGCTTTAAGTAAAATTTAAAAATTGAATCTCTATTAAGTATTTCTTAAGTGATAAATTCTTGTTTGAAATTTCTTTGCAGAAACAGAAGATCTAAAAGATGGTATAATGGCAGCTCTAAACCATAAATCATGTTCCTCAAACACACTCAATCTGCCAAAGCCAGTCAAAAGGAATGTGAAAGCCTTAAAAAAACTTCAGCTAGCTTATGTGAATACAAAAGTAGAATATTATAAAGAACGCCATGAACTTGAAATAAAATATGAAAAGAAATTTGAACCATTGTATGGAAAGGTATGTGTAATTAAAAGAAATGTTTTTTTATTTTAGTAAAGTACAATTTGATTGTTTCTGCATTCTGTTTATCTTGGGTAAAACATCGAAAGATTCACAGTTTAGATATGCTAATGTAAAATAAGTTATGAATTTTGTGAGAAAATTGTTTTAGTAGAAACAGTCTAATGCTCAAAATAAAATATTTAGAATGTCATTCAGAATAGTTATGGGTCACATGAGAATTTATATTTGAATGCTCAAGAAGTTGAAATTTTTATATGCTTTCATTTTCTGTATGTATTATGAGTTTGGAAATTTAATATTTGATGAACCAAGAATGGATGGGCATTGTATTGTTTCTTTGGCAGAAAATGTGCTTTTGGTTAACTGACATAAATACAATTGAAAACTGACATAATAATGACTGAATAACTGACATAAATACAATTGAAAATATCTTGAACTAAAAAATGCATTTTAAAATCCTGGCAGGTAAACCTTCGAAATAACAAAGTGACATCTTGCTTTCATAAGCTGATTGTGTCTAATGTAATTTCTAAAGAAATGAGCATTTTTTTCTGTAGGCATAGCTATGTCCATAACTGTCTGGAACTGTCTGAACAATTTTGTTCATATTTGTTGTGGCTTTTACATTATAAGAAACTCTATTAAACCATTCTCCATACATCGGTTATTTTTTAAGATGATTACTTAAGCCAATTAAATCATTCATCCTGCTTAGAAATAAAGAAGACACTATGAACTAAAACATAAGAAATGAACACAAAGTTTAAAATCGTAAGCAGCTGATGGACATACAAAAAGGCTAAACGCATGAACCACTACTTACATATAAGTGTTGCTGTTCAGCCAATCCATGTTAACCACTGTAAAAAAGTCAAAATGCTATTAAGAGAAATAATGATTAAAATCATTGCAAACATTACATTGCATTTAATTTGAAGGGGTAGTTAAATTTTGCTCAAAGCAAGTCTTGATAAATTTCTGAAATTGTACTATGTTCATAATATCAACTAGTATTTTGATATTGAGTTTTATTTTGACAATTCTAAATTTTAACTTAACGCCATTGTCAGTAGCTGTCCTTCTAGGCAAGCAGCAGTGGTGATAATACCCAAGCAAGTGGTGATAATATTATGATTTTACCCTTCATTTTAACCTTCAGCTGACAGATGATATCAAATGTTCATAAATTTCTGGATTAATTCACTACACTATGAAATGAGGCATAAAAGCATAAAGCTGTTCCTAAATCTTAAATAAAATGTCACTAATCTTCTTTAAAATATATAGCACTATTATAAGTGTAAAATATAAATGTTTCAAGAAATTTTGTAACTTAAAGCTAATTCCTTGATAAATATTATGAGCTTTATTCTCAAATTTGGTTTATATTTATATTGGATATTAGATGATGTTTAATAATAATGCATCTCACAGACCTGTTTTATTCTTAGAATAGTGCTTTAATTTAATAATTTCCCATTTTGTGACCTTAATGTTTTTCAATGATCGTCTTTAAAAATACTTAATTTCTATGTCCAGAAATATATATGAGCCTTGTAATAGAAAATAATGATATAGCCTTCTGTAAAGAATCACTTTGTGGCAGAAAAGAGGGAAGAAAAGGGTTGATTAAGTACATATAATTCCAATTAATTCATAAGGATTTTAGACTTTTTTTAGAAGGTTTTTAATTTTCAGAAAATATATTTTAGTATATGATGATGATATGCCTTTAGAATGTGTTAGGATTGTATTAAAGGAGTTCTTGTAAGTTTTGTTAAGCTCTTATTCTAATATAGGTCCACCAGCGGCTGAGTGGTAAAGTCACTGAACACTGGTAGTTCGGTCCAAGGTTCGAATCCCGTGAACATTCTGGCTGCATTTGTGTTTTCCCCATGTGTAATGTGTATACGAGCCAGTTTGCCTTAGAAAGTCCTCCATGAAGGTATCCCTCCCTTTAGGCAGATAGCCCTAGTGTGCTTTGCCATAATTAAATACACCACACCATTCACACCACTTATTCTAATATAAGTTTTTAAAGTTGATATTTTATCACCTGGAGTTTTCTTTCTATAAACAATGTAAATTTTTGATTTTTTGAAGCAAGCTGCTATAGTAACTGGTGCTGTAATCCCAACCGATGAAGAATGTGATTTCCAATTGGACTCTGAAAAGAAAGCTGAGCTTTCAGTAAGAATTTTTTAAATATTTTATTTAAAATAGCTGTATGGAAAACTTAATCATCGTGTGTTTTAATTTTTTAATGCTATTATTTTTAAACAGAATGAAATTCAGAAAGTTGAAGATGATACTGAAGCAAAAATGGATGTACCTGCAGCTGGTATGGTAAATTTTTAACATTTCATGTTAATATTTCTTTATTGTATACTTAAAACAAATGAAGACATTTGTAAGTAATCAGTGTTTCTGTTATATAATTGAATGTTTTAATTGGTCATGAATATTCTTCATTGTAAGAGAACATGCCATCGTAAAATTTATAAGTAGATAAAAAAAGCAAACTAAGTTTGGCATAGATAATAAAAATTCTCCAGAGATTTTTATTTGCTTCTGAAGGAGGACCCGTGTCTGATCGCTCTCAAAATCTATAGTTATTCAAATTCAACACAAAATTTTAATTTGTTTTTACTTGGTTATAAATGGACTGAAATCTAAACATGAGTTTTGGCTATTTAATCCCTTACTTGGCCACAGCTCTTTATAATTTAACAATCTTTGTAATCCGTTTTGACATTATTTGATAACTTTACCTCCTATTTGGCAACTTTATTTGAATTTAAAAAACTTTATTCTATAATATTTTAATCACATTTTCCAAGTTGTTGATCACAATGAGCAATGTATTTTCCAAGTTTTCATATAGAAATGGTCAAGATTTTGACAAATCAATAACAATATATGAATGATAGCATTAAGTGCCATGCACTGTATTAAATCTGTTCAGATTTTTATCAGTCCATTTGTTTGAAAACAAATCTCTAGTTAAGTCTTCGGCTGAGCTATTGTTTGTTATCATAAGCAGATAAAATTGCAGTGCTGAAATGGCATGCAAAATATATTTTTAATGTTTTTTAATATTACGTGAAATACAGTATGAGACCTGTCTTTATAAAGTGTGTAGTTAACCTCAAGTATATGACGTAACTGCCAACTTTACTGATTTTCTGTCATGTCTCCTGGCAAAACATTGAACTCTTGTTTTTTTAATTTTTAGCCTTTGCTTAGGAAAGTGCTTCCCAGTAGTAAATACAATTTATTGAGTTAATGAAATTGTGTGAATTTCATTTCCAACCTCCAGATTTCTTACTAAATTTTATTTATCTAAATTATCGTAATCTCTGTAGATATTTGCAGAGCTTTAATATGAAGATTCAACCCATGTTTAATCCTTTTTCAGTCAGCCGGCATATGTTACAGTATTACTCATCATTGCTAAAATTTTCATGATTCTTGGTTAATTGTCATCAGGAATGTAGATTTGTTGATAATGCATATATTTTTGTAATTTTATTTTCCTCATTGAAAAATTCTACAGAGAAAAAATACTACAAAAGCCTATTTAAACCCATACATTTAACTTCTTTGATTTGATTCATATACAGAGGATGTTCACATATTTTGAAACAATTTTGCAAAGATTTATATATAAACAAACCTTAGAATTTTATTTTCTAATATTTTTTTTTTCCAATGGCAGATTGTGAACAATTACAAATGTAACCCAGTCCATTAATCTATACAAGGCTGGATGTGGTGGTCTCTTTATTATGGAGGCACCCTAACCTTTCCTATGAAGGGACGGACAGTTACAACTATGCCTTCTCCGGGATTCAAACCCAGGCCCTTTGGCATCGCAATCAGCTTCTCTGACTGACTGGGCAGCTTATTTTCTAATATGTTCAATTTTATTTTCTAACATATTCAATCTTATTCCACTCCTCCTTCACAATCTTTCAGAGTCTATCCAATGTTTTAGGATGCTGCATATAAAAAGTCCATATGCTCAGGAATCCATAGGAGACATATCAGGGGACTAGGGTGGGATGCATTTAAGGGGGATATTTCAATTCCAGTTTCATTTCAAATTTTTTTCAAAAAATAGAGCAGTAGATTTAGAGGTATGGCTTGGAGTCTTATCCCGATGGAACTTAATAGTTGTTAAGATTGTTTGGATAAAGAGATGGAATTTGTTCTTTAAAAATATGTGGTAAAACATATTTCTGATAGTAAATCGAAGTAATTTTGACATTTTTTTCTACTTTCCTTATTTTAAGTTTTCTGTTTTGAGAGAATCTAGTAATAACCCTCAATCCTTTAGAAAAAAATTTCCTTGTTTTCTCTGAGCCAACATATTAAGTCTTTTTCCCCCCCCTCTTTTTCGGAAGTAAATCCATCTTTTTCTATTGTAATGAGATAAGTATATTCAAATCTCATCAATTGTAACTATATATTTAAATTTTTCACCTGTATGAATTTACCTGAATTTTCATGCACCAATCTGCAGTCTTATGCCGAGAAAGATGGTTCGGTGATGAACATCACCTTTTATTTTTTTTTTTAAATTTTGATTAGCTTTAAAAGAGATTTTTATAATTTTGTCCATAGTTCCTACAGAGACATTTAAAGATTTAGCAATGGGGGGGGGCTGAATTTTCTTTTAAAACATAAGATGCAACTTCAGATTTAATAAGAGCTGTATGTGCCTTTGTTGTGTATATGTTACCGTGAAAGACCGAAATTGGAGAATGTCGACTTTCACCGGAGAATATTAACATTCACCAAATACGTTGGTGAAAGACCGAATATTTCACTACATTCTTGTATATTCGGACCCTCACCGGTGTATGTCGACAATCACAGATATGCTCTGGTGAAAGTCGAAAAGAGAGGTCATAAAATGCCATAATAGTTTAAGTTGTTGCAATAAATAAGATTTGAATCACATAATTTAGTAAGATTTTTATTACTGTTATTTTATTTTCTCATTTAGAACATACTGTATAATTAAGTAAGTTTTTAACTTCTATTATTTTCCTTTCTCAGTTTGAATATATTGTGTGTTTTGGGTTCTCATGTTCTTGAGTTCTTATTTGAAGTCTCAAGTGCATTTTTTTGCGACTGAATTATGGAGAAAAAAATATAATATTGTTATATGTTCAACATTCACCATTAGTACATGGTGAATGTCGACATTGACCGGTGTAAGTCAGAAATAAGAGTATTTGGAAAATATTTCGGACATACACCAAGAGACGATGTGAATTTTGACATTCACCTGTGAAAGTCGACATTCTCCAGATTTTGGTGTTTCACCATAACATATACATTTTTTGCCTTATTCCCAGACAGATATAAATTTTGATATTCCTTTCATATTAATTATGCCACTTATTTTACATATAGAAATATTAAAACCAAGCTTTTCACATCTTTTTAATAATTAAATAAGAGTATTTCTCTTTGGACAATGTAAAAATATGGCCTTCAATCCATTTTTAAAAATTTTTTCAGCTACATTTTAAAGAAAAGAATATTTTTAATTCTGCAGATGATAATTAAACCTTATTCCAATGTGATGCCAGTCATGTTTGAATTCTAAAATTAATGTTTAAATTAGTGGAGAAAATAAAAAATCGTTACAAAAATGTGTGAGCACCCTCTGTAAATTAGTTGAGAAAATGAATAGGCTGAGAAATATAATGCATATATATATATATATATCAAGCAAGCTTACTACATTTTTATATATATATATTTTGCTGCGAGGAAATATGAAACTAGAAAATTTTAAATCGGTGTGTGTTTAAATGTCTGTAATTTTGAAGCAAAGTATTCAGTCAAAAAATAATCTTTTGTAGCAATTAAAGGCATTCCAAAATTTTGGTTGACAGCTCTTAAGAATGGTCCTATTGTTGCAGATGTGATTGAGGTGAATATAAACTTCTTTTTATTATGAAAATTATTTTATATATGATTATTAATATTTTGGAAGAGTATTGTTCTCATGTAGCAGTATTTTCCAGCTACCTGTAGAGAGATCTAATGTTGTCAGTGCTTAGTATCATTCATTTAACCTTCTGTGTTATAAAAATGTATTGCTTAGCATAGAAAATTATAAAGTAATTTTATATGTTCTTTTTAACATTTTGCTTTAAATGATATTTTGTAATATTGCAATATGTAGTACTAACACCACAAAAATTAGCATTCACAGTATAATCTAATGATGATGAAATTTTGTAGAAATATATATATGTTGTATTCTCTGGATTTTTGAATTTTTTAAAATGTTATTAATATTAAAATATTTGTAATTGTTCTATTGTGCATCAAAAAAGAATATGGAATTAAATTTGAATTTTTAAAAAATGTTTTCTTTTGTTTAAAACATTTAGCTATGTCATGTGGCAGTAACTTATTTTCATTGTTTTGTAATAAGTCTCATCTGAGGCATTACGTGAATTTTTCAGAATATAGCCTTTCCACTTGGAACTAAAAAAGTAGTTAATGGAAAATTAAAATTGATTTGTAGATTCAGAGAATAGTTTTCATTAGTCACATGATATTTTTTTCATATTTAGGAGTATGATGAACCTATTTTAGAACATTTGATAGATATAAAAGCAATAACTTCGTCTGATCCTATGGTAAGTTTTTTTTTGTTTTTTTGTGTGTGTGTCTTTAATATAATTTTGGCAGCCATCAACGAGCTCAGCTAATATTCTAGTTACTACCCTGGAGTGGGCACAAACGTACACAAAGTTTGCATTGCAAATTTGACATATATCGTGCATATTTGAGAAGAAAGAACTGCTTCATTTCACAATTGGCAACATTCATTTTTGTCATAAATCGTAATGGAACTGTAGAGTTTGCCAGCTGGTTAAAAAGAAAAAATACTATAGAAAAATGCAAGAAGTTGTATTAAGAAAACTTGCATTTTGTGATTCTGTGTGCATTGAACTTGCATTCTGTGAAAATGATCCAATTTTATGCAAATGCAATGTTAAAAATTGCAAGTAAAGAATTTGTCAAAAACTGATTTGAGTATAGCCTTACCTCGTTTTTTAGGCAAGGGAGTATATATCAGTTAAATGCTGTGAAGAATTGGGATTATCTCCCAAGCACAACTATTGATTGGTTTAGACGTAGCTGTAGAACTGTAGCAGCCACTGTCAGTTCTGGCTTTCCATGAAATCTTTTTTCATTCTTCTTCCTTTTCATCAAATACAGCTTCATAACATTTATAAGTAAATTTCTATATGAATCTGTTCACCAGTTGAAAATGTAGGCTGCCTTCAAATAATCAAGTTTAAAACTTTTCAGAATTTAATGCCAAAAAAAAAAATCTTGTAATAAAATAGTAGAAACCGCACATGATTTGCTAAAAATAAGAATTTTATTATTCGTGAAATTTGCCTGCTACTTTGTGTTTGGTGTATTTGATTTCTCTAAATGCTTAATTAAGTCATAAATTGTTTGCTAATATATCTGTCATTAAATTGGATAGGGTGATTCCAGATTTTCTACACTTCCACTGAAAAGTTGTGAGAAATATTCAGGAGGCAATGCAAAATGGTGTCAAAGTATTTAGCTGAATAGTCATGTTACTAGTTAGTATAAGCTGGGTAGTCATGTAGCACACATGTATTTGAGCTTATGTGGACTTGCACTTTTGTGATTCAGTTCTCATTTGTACGAATAATATTTCTTTTCGCATTAAGTTTCATCTGTTCTCGGACTCCAATATTTTTTTAGCCAAAAGAGATCTTGGGGTGAAAAGTGCAAAAAAGGAAGTAGTATGTGTGTATTTTGTGGGGGTAGGTAGTAGGTGATGCATCATTGAAATAGATGTAAAAAAAGATATTCAGACTTTATTCTTCAGGAAGTTTGATAACTAAGTCAGCAGCAAGTTATTATTTTAGTGAGGGTGTGGATAATTGGAAAGTACCACAGATTCATAAAGTATGATCGTACGTACTCTTGTGCGATATTAAAAAATTAATGGATGATATTATTATTGATTATGTTAGTTTTATGTTAAAAATATTCTTTTATCTTTAGATCTGTAAAAATTTAAAGCTTTTTGCACATAAATAAGAGCATATTCAGTTACAGTAGCATTTAATTTCAATGTCTTGTGAATGTATTAAAACTCTTTCTTGTGGTAACTGAGATTATACTAAAATTGTCTTTTATTCCCTCTTTAGGGTTTTTACCTGAAATTTCACTTTGAGCCAAATGACTATTTCACTGACACATTTTTAATTAAGTCTTATGAATTAAAATGTGTTCCAGATCCTACTGATGTCTTTTCCTTTGATGGGCTTGAAATTGATTCATGCAAAGGGTAAGATCACTAATTACTATTCTATCTAAAGTTTTGAGTCTTTCACTGCAAATGAATTTTAATGAAATATTTCACAATGTTGAAAAATATCCAGATGAAAAGCATTTAAATTTTAGAAAAAGGCATTTTTTTTTCGATTTTAAATTGTAAAGTTAGAAAAAATGTTTTTGCGTAAATCTTTATGTAATTACACGATTAGAAAGTCACTGCTTGTCTCCAATGGGCCTGATGGAATTTTTCTTTCAATGCATTATAATGGGTCTTGAATATTTAGTAACATAAAATAGTTTCCTCCTTATCAGCAAGCACACTGAAATACAACTGTAGGCAGCCTCTTTCCGAACAGAAAGCAGTAATAGTTGGGAACAAGAAAAACTTTGTCCTGGTGTAACATGAAATTCTCAGGGCACTGAAAACAACTTGAAGATTTTATGTATTGGGTTATCTGGAGTTTTTGTTTTTTCATGAAACTTTTTCTTGTATAAATTTTTCTAAGTATATATTGACCATTTCGGTTCAATATCTTTTTATCAGTATTTTCAATATATTTATCTATATCTTTATCACTAGCCATTGGATTGGCTGCATGTTTGGTTTTCATAGTATTTTTTCCCTTTGCGATATTAAAATTATTCTATTAAAAAGTCCTCCATGAAGGCATCCTTCCCACTAAGCAGATAGCTCTTTACTTTGCCATATTCAAATAACTGACCTCACTTTTTGTCATCTTTCTTGCAGTAGCATGATTCTGTCCTCATAAAAGTTCTGATCTTTGCTTCCAAAAAATTGATCGAAGTGATTTTGGACATCCTGAATTGGAAGTAAATATTTTACAACATTTAAGAATCTTTAGGAAGACAAGTGTAACCTGAGGGTGCCAGATCAAGTGGATATAGTAGTTGTGGTAGCACATCCTGCCTAAACTGTGACAGCTTCTGATGAGTTACCTAACTTGTGTGATGTCTGGCATTATGTTGAAACACTACACTTTTTCTGTTGATTTCTGTTTTTGTTTCTGTCCTTTTCTGTTTGATGAATATTCTCAGTTTTTTGATGGCAGTACACTTTTGAATTAATTGTACATAATTGTCTGCTGGAAGTTTAACCCCCTCCAAAAAATAAATCTCTCAAACAGACAACACTCTCTCTCTCTCTCACACACACATATATTCAAATGTGCTTAAAAAATTAAAACTTAATCTCTCAGACATCTGTGTGTGTGAGATCTCTCTCACACATTTGAATATATGTGTGTGTGAGAGAGATCTCACACACACATATATTCAAATGCATTTCGAAAATTAAAACTTGTGTATTGTATTGAGGAGTTTTAATTTTTGAAGTGTTTTTGAACCGGCTGATCTCGTCTACTGTGTCATCACTTGCATTCAACTGTTGTAAACAAACTATTTCTTATTACCAATTATGATTCCCTTCAAAAGCAAATTATTTTTTTGATATTTGAGGAGAAAATGGCTAATGTAAACGTAAAGGAGCGAATCTCTTAAGAATTTAAAAAACCCATTGTAGGGTTCCTCCCTTGTATTCTATTAAACTAAGTGTAGAGGAACCTAGTGAACAGCTTCGTAAATAATCGCTTAGGTCCAGGAACAGAAATGTAAACTCAAGAAGTGTTAACCACCCTTTATTTGCTCAATAAAGATATACAGTTGGCCCCTTTCTCATGGCGTACAGCAAAGCCTCCACTTTGGCTTAAACTCAAAATGTCAGAAGTAAGAGCTAAGTAATGACTAACTAAAGAGATTCAGCCAAAGTTAACACAATTCCAAACTAGTTGGTCCGTAATATTAAATTAGCCAGCGAAGCTATCAAAAGGCACGTAATACAGCCGAACTTAATAACAGTTTGAGAGATGTAGCCAAAAGGCAAATGCATGCTATTTAGAAATCCTAATTCTCTCTCTCAAAGCCAGTGAAACTTGGACGTAAATACTTTCTACTTCTCATTTGCATTTAGTGCAATTCTAGAAACTAATTCTGGTAAGGAATTGTAACTGAAACTAGATGAGATAGGAAAGTGTCATAAACTTAAAGTAACTTATAGAATTAAATATACCTTATACCATATATTGCACTTTGAAATGAACCCAAATTGTTTTACATTATCGTAGTTGATTTTGAGAAATGTAATTAATGAGCGATTTTTCATGTTCAGTGACTTGCTTCAATCAACATATTTTATTTTGTATTCATCAGCTTCAACCAGCCTTTTAGAATAGTGCATTTTCAACATAAATAATGTGTATAAATATGCCAGTGTATTGTATCTTTCAACACATTTTTGGAAACATGTTCAAATTAACTTGTTTTTATTTACAAAATTTTAATAACATTCTAGTTGTACAATTGACTGGAAAAGATTCAAAAATGTGACTGTAAAGACAATAAAGGAGAAGCAAAAGACCAGGGGTGCTGTTAGAACTGTTAGGAAAACGGTTCGAAATGATTCTTTCTTCAATTTCTTTAATCCTCCTCCAGGTAAATTAAAAAAATATCAATTTTAAATTATTAATTTAATCTTATTCAAAAGTATGTTTAATTTTCAACAGTTCCTCTCCCTCGAGGGGAATTTCTTTGTTTCAGGTGAAAATGTGGTCAGCCTTTTACTTACCTGTCAGTTAGTTAGCTTTAGGTTATGAATATAAAAAAACCTATTCTTATTTTTTACAACTTGTTTAATTTTTAAAGCACTTTAAAAAATAATTGAATGTATATGTATGGAGCATTTCGAACATCTGTGCTGGGCAACTGCAGGCAGCCGACTCGTATTAAATTTTCATAAATTTCAATTTATAAAATTATGAATTCACCCATTCGACACGACGATTGTTTCGAGCTCAGTCCCTAGGAGCGGAATTTTTTTTCTTTATATTGTGTTCATTTTTAACACAGTAAAACCAATGCCAAATTTTGTTTTCCTGTACTTTGCAGATTTCATTTGTTCAAGAAAAATCTTATTTCGATGACTAGTTTACTCAGAATGACTGATAATTGCACATTACTGTTATTACATACACGGTGTGCAATCTGTTTTGAATGGGTTAATGAATCATTTTATTTCTGTGGTAAATGAGTGTATTATAGGAGCTGTTCAAAATGGTGTCCGTTTGCTTGCAGGCATTCGTAGCACCTTTTTTATGTCTCAAGTATAATAATTTAGTATCCCTGCAGCATTTTGAAACATGTATTCCTGTAAGACACGATGTAGAGATTTGTTTGAGTACACTGTATTGGTTGTTCAATTTCAGGAATTTTCTTTTCCATTAACTCCCCCCCTTTACAAATTCTGTCACTGAATAACCCATTTCCTTTTAATCTAACAAGATTTCCGACTATTTCTGTGAAAAACTGTAATGAAAAGGAATTTTTCTCTGAATTATCTACACATTTCTGTGCAAGAAACTATTTTTATATAAGTGTAATATGCAAAAAATAAAATTTTGTTTAAGTGTTTGGTTCATAGGTTGGTACAGAGATGTTTGAAACACGCTGTATTTCGAGTTATGGAAAGGAGAAGGAATGATCGTCTAGCAATAGTGAAAGATATGTATGAGGCAAAAAAGAATCACTGTCTTAGATTCTTCTTTCTTTGGAAGCTGTTGTTCACTCAAAGAAGATTAATTTGAAAGTACATTTCATTTATTTTTTGTATTTTGACTGCTGAAGCTCTTGTAGTTCCAAAGTTTTTCAGCGTATCTGGAAATGTTTATGTGAGCTTCTTTTTATAACCAGTCTTCAGAAATATAATTTTAATTATGGTGTAATTTTTAATGTTAACATTGAAATAGTTTGTGTAGTTCCTTTTTACTTTCAATGTTGGAATATTTTATGATGTTTGTCAGGCATTTAATTTTTTATAGTTATCATTTTACATAATGTCTTTTTCAAAGTGATCTGTAGTGAGATATTTAATTTGTGAATGCCATATTGGTGTAGATGTTTTTATTTATTTATTTTTTCTCTAATTACAGTTCCAAAAGAAGGTGATCAAATGGTGAGTAAAATAAAAATTATCAAATACATGAAAATATTTAGCCTTTTTTTCGTTACATGTAAATTGTGCCTTGGAAATTCAAGTATTTGTTAATGAAAATGTGTTTTGTTGTGTCGAAAATTTTAACTGCTACCACCGAGTCCATTAAACACTTACTTGTGTTTTATCCGAAGAAAAATGCATGCCTTTTGTCCTCATTTGGAGAAGTTGCTGTCATTCAGTTATTAGATTTTAAAATCTTTTTTACCAAATATTGTCTTGAAATCCAAGTCTTCGAAATTTGTGCGAATGGACTCACCTTTAAAGTAGGTTTACAACACCAGTGAACGGAAGTCATAAGTGAAGGTGATGCTAATTTGTTTTTACTATTGTATTTTTTAAAGATGTAAATGGCACCGGATAGTGTTATTTAGCGATGTTATAGAGAATTTTTGGCGATGAATTGTTAAAAAAAGAATATTCAGAATTTCTGAAACTGCTGGTACTTAAAAATTAAGGACAGCCTGATAAAATTAGTCAAACCCCACTATAACAGACCCAGCATATAATGAATCTTTGAAACTTTTTTGTATTTTTCATATTTTCTCCAGAATTTTGTCAGATTTTGATTAAAAATTACTAGTTGTTAAAGTTATTAACTAGGATCAACATTCCATTCTCATTTTATCCATTAAGGAAACCCCTATTGTTTCACTTCAATTTTTCCCTAGGTTTTTAAACGAAGGCAGTTGTTAAACTGAATGCTAGAATAAAAATACAATAAGCATAAATTAAGACACCATATGATGAACATGCTCATAAACCAAAAAAACATGAATATTCAAATTCTGTGAATGACCTACCAGATAGAGCTTTATTCAAGGTTGCTGTGATGATGGAAATTTGAAAATTTTTGCTATTCAAAGAAAGTGATTCCTAATTTTAGTTGATTCCTCTTTTAGGGAAAGATAATTTTTCTTCCGTTTGAGTATAAATGCTTTCGAGTTCTGTCCGTCAAATAAGGGTTTTGTATTCTTAAAGTGTTTTGCAAGACCTAAGATATTCATTGTGAAGGTTTTTTTTTAAGTCTGATTTTAGTTACATTGCAAAGGCATTTTAGAAATTATTTGAAAGTAAAAGGGCTAATTGAAATGTATTAAGATTGCTTGTATTTCCTTACCAGCATTTGATGTAGAAACTTATATTTGGTTTTGTGAAGGTAATAAATCATGTTGGAGCTTGCAGTTAGATGGCCATAACCCTCACTGTTTTGGTCATGTAAGAAGTGGAAGCACCTAGTATGTTTTTTTTTTTGGGGGTGTGTGTGTGAAGAAGATGTCTCCATGTTTTGTGTTAACTTGGAAAGAGCAGTAATAAAATACTTTGAAGTGATACAGTAGGTTCCTTGCAATGAAACATTTAGCTGTGCTTCGACTTTTCAGAGGCATTTCAAGGCTGTAACCTGTGGGTTAATAGTCTTGATAAGGCATATACTGCAAGCTATCCTCTTTGGGTACAGCTATTAATGTTGTATGCTCAACAGCAAACAACAATTATATAAACATATTGGGGACACTTTGCATGTCAAGTCTGAGCAAAGAAAATAATTAGATTTCCTTAAAAAACAATGGTTTTACTCCAGATCCATAACTGGTTTTATTTTGCTTCTGTGAAATTGGCAGCATTATCTAAAACTGGTCTAAAATATGCTGTACAGTCTAAGTTTAGTAACATGTGATTATAGGTATTCTTAGCATTGAAAAGGCAATTGCATGAAGTTTGTTTTCTTTGGATGAAGTGAAGAATTCCATGTCTGCTGAGCTAAAGACAATATTAAGCTGTGCTTAAAAACCATTTATAAAACCCTGAAAAGTATAATTTAATGCAAAGTATGTAATTCATGGTTATGATGTTTAGTTCCATATACTTGATATATATATATATATAATTTGAAATTACTATTTTTGGGGAAATCTGATCTATTATTAGTATTAATTTTTAAATTCTTCGACTAAATGCATTTAAAAGGACTTTTTTTTTTTGTTAAAATGGATATTATTTAACATTCTGAGTGCCATGACTACCTTTATCTAGTCGTGATATTTTAAGTTTTTTGCCATTTACAATTTTTTTTCATGTACTAATTTCAAGATTTTAAACAAGTTTATTATCAAAAGTGAGATTTAAGAGCTTGGCATCAACCAGTTTTTTAGATCTTTTTGTAATACAGGCGCCAAAGAATTCAATTTTTACTAAAATTGCATTTGCTTTAGTATTTATATTTCTAGATAAGGATCTTCAAGCCATTTTAAAAACTAATTTTTTGGTTAATTTGGAAAATTAACCAAAAAAGTTAATTATAAAATTTGGTTAAATAGGAAATTTAATCATTAATGCATTACACTGTACTTAAATTGTGTTTAAATATTAAAGTTGCATTATATTGAATGACCTTTTCCTACATGTTTTCTTATTTAACTTTTTAAATACTATATGCTCTGGAACTTCTTATAAATTATTTAATGAGTTACTTATATTTATTGCAATTGTAAATAATTTCAATGACTAATCTTCTGCATTTTAGGATGGTGAAACTGTGAGTATCTTGAATACTGATTTTAGAGTTGGTCTCTCGATAAAAGATCGAATCATTCCTTATGCAGTACTATATTTCACTGGTAGATATTGTGGAAGAAGAAGTAAATACACAGTTTTTTTTATTCTGTAAAAAATAGGTTTAGGATATATTTAATTACAGATGTAAATTTGAAAATCAATATAGTAATAGGAATGCAGTACATGTTCATGGTGTGGCACATTTCTTCGTATTATTGATATTATGAGTTGTAGTTAATCTTGTCTTGAAAATGTAGTGTTTTCAAAGATCATCAGTATTTGAATTAATATTGATGTAAATTTAAAAAATCACCATTTGTTGTTATATCATATTTATATTTATTACAGTTTGATGAAGAAGAGGATGAAAACAATAATCAGTGCCTGGCAAATTGTCATGGGCATGCTTTGTAACAAGACAGTTGTATGTTTTGTAAATTTATTTTTCTTGCAATTTTGTATTATAAAGAAAGCTTACTGTATTTAAATCATGTGGTATATTTATCTGTATACAAATATTAATAAAAATTACATTACTTGTTGAAAGTCGTGTTACTTAAAAACATTGTGCTTAGAATACTTACATTTCTATTAAATTTCAACCTTCTGAATTTTATAAATTTGTTAATAAAAATGTGTTATACAACATATATAAATAAAGAATATTTAGATATTTAGAAAATTACTGAACACTTAAAAACTAAACTGACAAAAATACATATTTTTTAGTTAAAGTGATGAGGTATGATTAGTTATCAGTCCTTGAAATAACTAAATCAGACTAGATAACAGTATGTTTTGGGAATAGTTCTGGCTGTCTTTTATGCAGAGTTGTAATTAGTTCTTTAAGAATCTAATGCTTCATATTAAAATTGAATATTTTTCAAAAATTGTATAAAGTGTTTTAAATTATATTGAAGGAGTTAATATTCACAATAGGGGCAGTAAAAACTTGAATTTATTGCTTTTTGTATTTTATTAGTTGTATAATGGCTTATCATTAACCTAACTTTGGAAGTATTTTCATGTTCTGAAATTAATTTTGGAGTCTATGATTTCATTGGAATTTTAAAAGATCTGTATAAAGAATGTTACATGCAAAACCTGGTAAGTAATACCTCCCCCCCCTAAAAAAAACTGGCATCTACAGTAACCAAAATTTGGAAACTGATTTAATTTTAATGGTCATGTAAATTAAGTGTATTTTTTATTGAATGCTTATTTTTCCCCATTGACCAATAAATATTAATTTATTAATATGAAAATATTTGGAATTTTCCAAGTCCAGTATTTAAGCATATTATACAGACCTATGTTTGGTTAAATTATTTATTATTATTATTATTTTTTTATAATCGAAAGAAGTCTCGAGGACCGACGTAGCAAAATCAGTCAATCTCAGCCTCCTCCTGAATGTAAGCAGCGATAATAAATTCTGATTTTTAAGCCATATTTAACCTGTTCCATATTGAAGTAAATAAAAAGCAGTTGCACTGTGTTAATAAAGTTGCTTTTTAATATGCTTATGCGTAATGATGAGTCTTATTTTTTTTCATTATCCAAACTAATTAAATCATGTAGGTTTTAGTACAACTTCAATTTCACACACAACTTTAGCAAAGATTTTTTATTGAAACATTTTTTATAAAATTATTATTAGATATGTTTAATTCATGCATAGATTTTTTTAGTGCTTTGTTATTAGCAATACTTGCAGGAAGACATTTTGCTTTGAAATATTGACACAGAATAGGGTAAAATATTCTGTCTGGCAATTTAAATTTTAATGCTTTCTGGTCCCATTTACCCTAAAAATGAGTTCAGTACCTAGTTTTACTTTCATGTAGATAAATATGACTTAAAAGTTACTGCAGCAAAATATATATTAAAATTATATTACAATTTATTTAAAAATAAGCTTCCAGAAGCTGGAAACCAAGATTACAGAGCAACTTTCTGGGGCCATAGAAATAATTTCTACATATATTAGTCACTTCTATAAGGTGATGGTGATGGTGATGCTCCAGCAAAATGGGAACATTAATTTATTAGAGTATTCAAAAACGTTGTCAAAAGAATGGGGGGCAATTCTCTTATTTCACAATTATCCTTTAATCATGGAAAGTTTCCTGTGGTACACTTTCAGAGGTTTTACATTACAGTGACTTTGAAACATTATACACAGTGTCCATAAAAGTCCATGTAACAATTTTTTTTTACAGCCATTGGTCACAGATGTACTTTCAAGTATGAAAATATTTTAAATGTTGAAATATTCATGTTTTGGGGTTTTTAAATTAATGAAATCTGTTAAAATTGTAAAATCTTTTATCTCCTGACCCTTGTAGTTATACGTAGGAAAACTTTACGTATTAAAAATCAAACTAATTTGCAGTTCATATATGACAAAATGGTTGAGCTATTAAAGTTTGTGTGTATATTGTTGTGTAAAGTATTGACCAGTGTGATTTTTATCAAAAAATATCTTATTTGTGCTGTTATTCCTTCTCTAGAAAATTCATTAGTATTAGCTTGTCATTCAGTATTAGCTTGCCAACCTGTCGTAACATTATTTGCATAAATTAATCCTGAAATATCTTTATAGTTTAATGGCCTTTTTCTTTGTATAATTGTTTATTGTTAGAAATGTTTTATAGAAAAATAGTTTTCATTCAGTAACAGCTTCTGGTTTCTCTATGAACAAAATGTAATTATACTGATATTAGTTGTTTCATGCTTTATTGTTCAAAGATTATGGTTATTGCATCATTGAGGAGTATTTTTGATGAAAATTTTTGTTTGTGAAATTGGTAAAACTTGAGTGCCACACTCCAAATAGATTTGACAAGTTCAGTAGCCTTTATCTGCAGATTGGCATAGTAATGATTTGTAATGATTTGGTTGGCTTTCCCCAGTCAATGTTTGGTGCCTCCAGACAGCCTTCAGAGGTTTGGACACTAATTCTTTTTAAAGCAGCTCTTTGAAGTGGCCTGGCAATGGTCTTTTCTGTGGCGTCCTGTCTTTTTACGGGGGCATTGTTTGATTAAGTGCTGCCATCTATTGCCAACTGTAATAGTTTTGATTTTGTGTTACTGGAACAAAGCTTGCGGTTTTCTTTGTTCTGATGCTAACCTCTCTTCCAGTCAATTGCAAGCTTTTCTGACTCCGGAGCACCATGTGACCCCACCAGCTTAGCATCTCTTTCACGATTCCACTGACTCACTCGACTGCTATGACGGACATTTCATATTCATTGGCCTATTTTTCAACATTCTTCTGACTATTTCACTGATGATATTCACTCTGTAATTCAAGATCATCTGAAGTTGCTTATCGTTTTTGTGGACTTCATGAAATGCTAATTTTAATTTGTCCCTCCATGATATAGTGGAGCAATAGTCAACCTGGTTTACATTATGTCTGTGGAAACTTACCTTCTTTACATGCATGTTCTTTGCAATGTTACACATTCGGAAGGTTTCAATGAAGGATCGTACGTGTTTGTAAATTTCCTCGCCTTTCCTCCTGTTTCTCTATTCTTTCACCAATAAAATCCTTGCCTGTGCTTTCTTGAGTTTTTTTTTTCCTCCCCAGATGCACTTCTTATTGGTTCATTCAGTTTCCACGAGGCTCTTCAGCTGAAGAATTCTGGTCTCTAATACTACCATACATGTCTTTCAGATGTTTTGAATACCTCCATTTAGTTTATGTGCTGCCGGTTATTGCGACAATAGTGTTTTTTGTTTCGAATTATTTCTTGTTTTAACTGTTGTACTTTCGCCTCATTTCATTGTTTTTGATTCAGCCATAAACATTAACCGGATGTTCTCAGCCCGGTGCAGCACGTACCCTTCCTTTTTCCCAGGTGTTAATTGTATCACAATTTGGGAAATGCTGATCTAAAGAGAGAAAAGCAAATAAGTCTGAAAATGTCTATGAAAGCCTTCAGTTCCAAAGCTACTAGAAACCTTAGACGAGTGGTCATCATCTTGAAAGGCTGTACTGACCTATGTATTTTTACAAGTGCAATTATGATTGCTCGGATATACAGAGATGAGTTTCACGATCCTTACATGAAGTTGCTTAAGGGTACAATCACTAAAAACTACCCCCAGTGGACAACAGATTTGGCTGCACTAGCGACTGATTATCTGAAAAGTGAAGGCATCCAGTTTATTGGGTGTTCATGTATCTCTGGATTTGAATTCTGTTGAACTTGTGTAGAACACTGCTTTAAGTTAACCAGGAGTTTCGCGGCTGTGTCCGTCGTGAATACACTTTTTTGTATCTAAGGAATTCCTGAACAATCCAATACACAACATGCAAAATCGCTGCTAACCTTATATATTTTGTAAGAAGCATATTGGTTACCATGTTATGTTAAATATTTTAATGTATCTACAAAAGGTTGTAACACCAACCATTCAGTACTGCAGTGATTTACAGAAGTGGGCAATTCTGCATTTTAAAGCTATGCTAGGCCCTCCCCCTCTCCAAAAAAAGCTGTTTTATAAGTTTTAGCAGAATCATTCATGAGTTTTATTATTGTTCCTTAAATTTTCCCTGCCAATGTGTATGGTGATGCCAGGATTCAATCTTTTCTTATAAATTACACTTTAAAAATAAATACCTTAAAAATCACTCTTTACAAAATTCATCTCTAATTTTGTATCATGAATAATGAAAGGGTGAAGTTCTCTTGATTAAATTTATAAAGATAATTGCTTATGATTTTGAGAATGTAATTCGATTATTAGACACAGTCTCGATTATATGTTAGGAATAAAATTATAAAATTAAAAATTCTGTTATTATTTACAACCTTACATTCAAATATATTATTTCTAGTTCTAACTTCAGATGTGTGTATAGTACCTGTGACAAAAATTTCTTTCTTAAACTCCATATGATTGTTTATTTAAATTTTAGAACAGTACTTTCTGCGCAAGTTAATAATCCAAAACCAACGGAAATCGGCAAATGTGAACCAAAAAAGATAAACATAACATTAAACATTAAATAGACGAAAACTTAATTTTGCTGTTACGAAGGAGGGTTAACAGCATAAGTGGAGAATGAAAAGAAAGACATTGTTTGGATGCGAAATTCACTTCCATAAAAATATCAGGTAACTGTCTTTAGGGAACAGCTTTTTGTCTTTTCTTTGTCTAAGCGCCACTCAACTTTATTTGAGGCTCACTGAATCTCCGTTTCTCATAAAATTTCTCCAATTTGATTTGATCGCCTATGTTTTAACATGATCCTAAAGTGAGAAAGGCTCATTGACACTTTCTTCTAGCTTGCTACTGCTTCATCAAGGTCACAGTGATATGTGAAAGCTTTGCTTCTTACCCCATTTTGCATATTCTTTGCCAGTCAGACAGCTAGGATAATAATTGTCTTCTTCCTCTGTGTCTGAAGACATCTCTTCTACTGTCGCCTTTTGTTGCTGCCTCTGAACTTTTTATACTTCTTTTTTGTTCAGCAATTTTTTGGGGTCATCTAATAACTTTTATACGTCTTTATTGCTAAATTAACCCATGGTT